GAGGAAAAGGAAGGAGCCTGAGCAGGTGTAACTGCTGGTAACCAGAAAGCCTGTAGCAGAACTGGTTATCTTTTGAAGCTGCTAGAGGAGCTGCAGCGTTGATTTACATGTTCAGCAGCATTGCCAGGACAGCAGAAGGCGGGGATGGGAGGTAACGTCGCAGCAGGGTCAGGACTGGCAAGAGGAGAAATCATACTCTTAAAGATATTTGTCTGGGTTTTGCCGTGTGTGTTTTGCTAATGTTGTCGAGGATGCTTTCAAGAAGCGCATAGTCAATGCATTGTAGTGAAAAGTTTTTACTGATGCTTCCGTGCACAGATTGCGTTAGGGTAACTTTGGGGAGCAGGTTTGTTGGCTGCCTTTCCCCCCTCTCGTTTTAAAGACACTGCCTCGTGTTTTCACACAGTCTGGATGGAAACTGTGGTAATGCAGGACGAGAGGGGAAGAACTCAGGTATGAGGAAGAAACACACTACAGTTAAGATTAAAGGCAGATGAGCTATTCAGCAGTCTCTGAGTAACAGTAACTCATTAGATCAGAGGGAAGGGTCTGATTAAGCAGTTTTCAGAGGTACAGAACCCGTATCTGTGTTTTTTAGCTGGCTCTGGACATTGTATATTGACCACACGAACGTTTCAGGTTATAAATTCTTTATGCAGAGTTTGTTTGATGTGTCTTCTGCCATTCAGAAAAGTTTCCTAGCTTACCTGGTATTTTGTGCCAGAATGATCAAGCAGGCTATAAAGGGAGTAGAGAGAATCCACCTGTATTACTCTTCGTTGTCTGAAGAGCTAATGCAATGTTCCCCAGCAAAGGCTGCTTGAACTTTTCTGATTTAACTGGAAGGAATTTGCTTTTGTGTGGGATTTTCTGGAATCAGTTAATTAGACATGAAAGACAGAATTTGAAGGTATGACTTTTTAAGATATGACTCACTTTTGTATCTATGGCTGAATGTGAAATGCGTTAAAGTGTATGTTGAAGCTAGACTGACTTTCTTTAAAATCGGAAAAGTTCAAATCTTGCAAAGTTCCAGGTGATGGGAATTGTAAGATTGTTGCCTGACCACTGGGCAGAAGGGAAAATGGTGACTGTAATTTTAGCAAAAATTCACCCTACCTAAGAGTCAAAAGGTGCTATGTAACTTTTGGCATCTTATTTGCACCTGTGACACAGGACATGCAGTGTGGCAACACGCATCGTGCAGCACATCTCTGCTGGTAACTCCTGGACAGAAGGAATTGCTGGTAACTTTGCTAATTTAGGGGTATCATAGGCAAGTCATTTAAGACCTATTAGTGACTTGATATTGAGCATTTAACTTTGCCTTTGACTGATTGAGACTGTACTTTTTTTAGGTGCAAAATTCCCCATTAAATGGACAGCACCGGAGGCAATCAACTATGGATCTTTCACTATTAAATCTGATGTGTGGTCATTTGGGATTCTCCTGTATGAAATCGTCACGTATGGAAAGATTCCTTATCCAGGTATGGGCTGTGTGTTTCTACTGTTACTCTGTGTTTATACTTTGGTGTTAAAAAGCAAAGAAAATACACGGGGAAAGAGCTGACAGTAGCGACAGCAGTGATTTGAAAAATGTCTTGCAGGTAATGTTATTGCTTTGAAAATTTATAGTCATCGTATGTGTAAACCACGTGCCTCTCGGGTAAATTTTAGCAAACAGACTAACAGCACCGTGAACACGTACTCACTTTTATATATTCAAAAGGCGTTACAACTGCAACAAATGCTGCACTGTCACAGATCCCGGCTTTACGGTCAGCAGCACAGTCGCGTAGCAAGGATGCAGTGCTACAAGTTCTAATGGTGCTGTGGGAGCTGCTGGGGGTTTTAGTATCGCAATATGCGAAACTACTAAGAAAGCAGGTTTTCACAAGAAAATAGGCTGTAATAATTTGTCAGTGTTAGCTAATCTAAACAAATATGAAAGCAGACCCTAAAGCAGCATTGACGTACCACTAGGCATATTTACTCTTCGTTGTTCCATACAGTTCAGGTATGAGACCACGGAGGAGTACATCAGTTGTGGCTGCATTGGGTAGCTGTGAAATGGTTATGTGCTTCACGTTTGTTTTTTCTTTCTGTTAAACAAAATACATATTAATGTTTCCTGCACACAGAGACAGCTTGTATGAAGGGTATTTTCATGCACACAAAATGGTCACATCTCAGGCATAGCTGGTTAACTTCGGGCAGCAGACTGCATTCAAGCTTACTGAGGTTATGGAAAATTGACCTAAATTCTCTTATCTTGTGAGCAAATGGGGAAAACACAGCCATCCATGTTCACCTGTATTGCACATCTCATAGACAGAGTAACTTCTGAGAAGAACCCTTAGGATCCTGCAGTTTACAGGCAATAAAGGGAGAGCAGATATTTCATCCAAGCAAAGCTTTCCCAGCGCTTGCAGTGCGGCAGCTCTTGCTGTTCAAACAGCGAAAACATTTTCACCACCACTTTGTGAGCAGCTGGAATTCTGCATCCTGAACTTCCAGGGAGGGTAAAGGGGCAGATCCGAGTCCCTGAAATGCCAGTAGGCTCAACGCCTCTGGGCACAAGGAGGTGGGACCTCCGGCAAAACTCAGGCAGTGGGGAAGGGGTGATGATGGCCAGCTTTATGCTATGTGATGGAAGAACATATCAACTTTCCATACAAGAGGTAGAGCCAAACCGGACATTCTCATTGCTCGGTAAGGCTCCAGTCCAGGAAAGCACTTAAAGTCAAGAGTAGCCCCCTTAAACTTCAAGAGGTGTTAGGGCTGCTTGCACAGCTAAGTGTTTAAACTTATGCTCCGGGTTGGTTTTTAGGTAAGGGCTATAAAATATGTAACTGAGTAGCAGGTCCTCCCAAAGGTATTCTAAACACTGCTCGTGTCCCCAGGAAGGATCAGATGGGAGTTGTATGCAGCCGAGTAACGCGTGGCTCTTCCCACAGTTGGGATGATGCTTTTTTCCCCCCATTAGCACATGCCTCTGTATCCAGGCAGTTGAGCCTACGCTGAGCTGGGGTCCCAAAGTTATTTCTGGATGCCTTGAAAATTGTCCTTCCCTGAGCAAACCTAGGAGCTCACCTGGAAACCAGCACTACAAAACTACAAACCCCAATCCATTACTTAATTCTGCACCTAAGTCTGCTCTCTCTTTACCTTCGGAGAAAAAATACCATACTTTTATTTTAAGAACAAAATCAATCTGTACAGCAGACACAGTACTGCTGTACTACTGTGGGAAAATCTCTCTTCTAGGGGAAGTCTGGGCAATATTTTTTTTTTTTAAATATGGGAGCATTTTTTATGAGCACCATAAATAGGCTGTACACTGTGGATTCATTTGTCAACCAGCAATTAGAAGCAGAAGCCTCTTGACTGCATACGGGACAAATTTAATAGTTTGCAGGCATTGCTTGCATTAAACTGGAAGAGGGATATATGTCTATTTTAAATAGAAGTATAAATTGAAATAGCCTTTTAGTTTGAAAGTTGATACTGAAGAATCAGAAGGACAGCAAAATAAATAGGTGACCAATTTACTTTACATGAAGAGATGTGACAGGTTTGGGCACATTACCCCTGCATGGCAAGAGTAACCTGGTGATCAGTTGTGACCAGCAGCCACTGGAGAGAAACAGTAAATTCATTTTTCAGTTCTAATGGGAGTACTTCAAAGTAATATTTTCAATTATTAACCAGCTCCAACAACTAGAGAGTATTCAGCATAAAGCTGCACGTGAAACAGTTTGAGTTGAAACTGGCAAGTAGTTAATACCTGTGAAGAAACTCTAGGTGGGCAACTTGGTAGGAAGCATTTCCAACCAAGAAACTTGGAGCTTTTGTGATCTTTGCTCTTAAATTCCAACAGCTGTTTCTCTTCCAAAGAAACTCAAAGCAATTAGTGGGATTGTAGTTTCAGGAACTACCTCTGAAATATGAAACGAGTATCTGATTCCCTGGGCAAATAAGCTGAATTGGTTGTTAAAACTAATTTCCAGGAGATTATATAGTATGTCAAATACCGGCAACATCCATACTTGCATTCCAATTATGCCTGCTGCTCTTCACAAGATACGCTGCTTTCGGTACAGTGGGATTCTTCCTCCATACCACTGTGCTCGCATCATTTCCCAGGCTCTAACATGAGGAAATATGCCTTTATCTGTGAAGCTGAACAGGTACCACAGCATAAATTAACAGACATGTACTAAACCTTTAGAGCTAATGTCCTTTGCTAGCATTTAAGAGGCTGTAAGTGTCACAAATATGCATGTGGGATATAATTCTTTTCCTGATTAGGATGTAGTTTTGCAGAGACAGGTAATTCTCTCGCCACAAAAAAATAAAAATAACCAAAAGAAAAAGGAAAAGTTAAACACGTATTTGAGAATACCCCAAACAGATGGACTTATGTTCATGATGTATTTACTATGGAATACTGATAAATGTCCTTTCATTTTTGTCTTGTGAACGTAAATTGGTATTTAACAGATAGTTTTCCTGCAGGGTAGCTGGAACACAGGCTTGTCTTGGCATTCAGAAGGTAACAGCCAGTCCTGCAGAGACCAGACCTAAGCACCATCCTATAAAGTACTTAAACCCACAGCATCAGCCCTGGTCTGCACAAAATCCCAGTAGCAGCAGTCCTCACGTAGTGGTGCAGTTAACTAAGACTTTGCGTAGTATGAATAACTATTTTACTGCACACATTATATACAATTAATTTCTTTAAGCTCAAGAAGTCAGATCACTGTCCTCTATAAAATGCTTTATCGACTTTCTTCCTATATTTATTTTGTCTTTATATAGCAGTAATTCCTTATTCTGTGATGACATGCTATTCCACTGCTACCTTCAAAATACTTTTTATTTTTTCCCTACCCGTGTGCAGTATTAGCTCAGGAAAACTTCACTCCTCCTTCTGAAGAGGAACTGAAAATACAAAAGATATGCCCAAAATAAGCGCTCTGATCCAGACTCAGATTACATGGCTGACAGTATTTCTAGAACAGGTTAAAGCCAAAAGGCTTGTAGTCAGCTATATGAAGTATCGTGAATAATCAAAGTAGTTACACTGGATAAAGTTGTCATTTGGTTGTAATTCAAATGCGTCCTTACCTGCCAAGTGGCTTAAATCATAACTTTAGCAGTCAGACACGCCCAGTTTGCAGCAGCAGAGCTCACAGTCACCGACAACTCGGGGGAAGGACAGCATCTGCTCTCCGTCGCTGACCTGGCTCAGAGCAGGACCCATCCTGCCTCCCGCAGCAGAGTGTAGCCACGCTGCCCGCACCCCTGGGGAACGGGTGGATGCAGGAGCAGCGAATGTCACGCGTGTGCCTGACCAGAGACCGAGTTGCCTGAGAAAACCATGAGAAACTGTAGTCTGGGGCAGATCTGCACCGCGTGGAGCAAAGCCTGGGGAGCGGGCAGTGGCTGTGGGGTCTGGAAGACCCTTCTCAAAAAGGAAAGTCTTCGCAGGTGGTAGCAAAGCTCTAGGCTGAAGCACGGGTGTTTCCTGCATGCCCAGTCATCAGAAGAAACAGCATTCGTTGGAGTACAGAAAGCTTAAGAGTCTGGGTCCTGGAGAAGGTAATCCTGGCAGAATGACTCCACGGGGTCGTGTAAGATTTGCAGAGGCAGGGACAAGCTGAAAGGCAGGTTTCTGGGTGGGAAGTGGTGAGCCTTTTTTTGCTGGTCCTGGTGTAGCTGACCTTCTGAGAGTGGGTGTGGAAATCATTCTGTGAACCAGTCTCTCAAGGATTTAAAAAGGGATGGATGGGGTGTGGGGAAAAAAAAAAAAAGAGGAGGATGATGGAGTCCAGGGCAGGCCTCTCTCCTGTGACGTTAGTTAGCACGTGAAGCTCAGGATGCACTTCTGGTAGTTACAGTTCTTATCCTCTGAAAGAAAACCGTAACAGGGAAACAAAGCAAAGCTCAGCACAGCTGGCGAGATGATTTTGCACAATAGGAATAGGACGAGGAAGCAGGGAGGGGACGTTGCCCGTTACAAGTAATGGTATTACAAGTGACTATGTCCCGTATCTTGCAATCAGCAGCACTTACACAAAAGCTGACGTAGAAGAAAATCAGGCCGTGTGTTATTGCATTGGGCAGGGTGACCGGCAGCGTGGTCAGACAGGTAGGCTGCTCTCTGTCAGTATGGATGGGGTCTGCAGCGAGCAGGTTAGGAGCTCCAGCGCTGGAGACAAAGCCTGAGGCCAGGGTGGGCCTTCGCTGCGATTCTTGCCGCTGCTGGAAGCAGAACAAACGGTGGAAGGACTGGTTGGAGGAACAGAATGGAGCTGGTTCTGGAGACAATTATGATCTCTCCCACAGTCTTGTTCGATTTGGCACTAAAGAGGTTGCTACGCTTAACTGGGGAAACGGAAATCTTCCCCCCAGGATTTTCAGAGCAAGTCCCTCAGTGCTGGTGCACGTCTCAGCCTTGTTTATGGAACTTATATTAGTAGCTACCTTTAATAAGTAGCAATAGTCTTCTATTATTGGGTAAAGATCTTTAGAGGGAAGTAAATAAAAAAAGAAAAAAATTGTTTCTTTAGGAATTGAGATAATTTAATCAAAACTTTCTTCTTTTTTTGTTGAAGGGATGAGCAATTCAGATGTGATGGTTGCTCTTCAGCGCGGGTACCGAATGCCACGCATGGAAACCTGTCCAGCTGAGCTTTATGATATCATGAAAACATGCTGGAAAGATAAAGCAGAAGAGAGACCAACATTCGATTATCTACAGAGCGTGCTTGATGACTTCTATACAGCAACAGAAGGGCAGTATCAACAACAGCCATAGAACAAAGAACACTTTTTCTATTGACGTGGATCATTGGCACAGACTATTACTTGGACAGACTGCTCAAGCCAATTACTTCATGAGTTTGGATGTCTTAACTGAGTGTGGAAGCTGAAAAGCTGAAGGAAAGAGTAATTCTGCAGAGAAATAATAATGTTTTTATTTGGTTGAAACAGTTCCTCTAAAGCTTGAAGTTCTCCTTAAATGCTCTGTGTTCTCCATCTGCAGAAACATCCCAAAGCTAGCGGGCTTTTTGGGGTGGGGAGGGAGAAGGAAGGAAAGAGATCTTGCACTGGTACAGTTTGCCAACGCCTTCTTAGGATCTAAGTCATGCAATGCATTACAAGGAGACCTTTATAAAAGGGACGAGAAGGTGCATGAACAGCTGTTTTCAAAAGTCATGAAGGAGAACTTACCAATTTAAGACATGAGGATGTTCTTAAATCATCTTTTTTGAAATACAGCGTATTGTGAAAATTATTCTTATATCTTTGTTATTTCACATGAGTATCTGGAGTACTGTTCCCTCTTGAAAGACTTTCTAAACGGTGTCATGGTTGTCTTTAAGGAAGGGTTATATATGTAATTCTTTACACTGAAGATGATTCCATTTTACTGATGTACTACTCATACTAAATTTAAAATCCTTTTCAGAGCATTGCACAGCCGTCACAGATGCAGAAGTGCTCTGTGACTGCAGATGACGCCAGGAGCGGCAGCACACCTAGCTCTGTGTTCAACCTTCCGTTTCCCACAGGCCAAAGTCATCACCTGAAGTCCATGGGAAAGCACGGGATTTGGAAGGAAGTCAATACTTTCATTGCAGTTGCCAAGACTGTTACCAGTGAAAATATTTTAATCCTAATTTTTAACTCTCTGTGATTATTCAAGAATATTCCTTATATTTTTTGCTGCTTTAATCAACTAACCTCAAATCTGTTTTAAAGCTAAAACTAGCTCTAGCACTATCAAACACAATTTGTGGCAATATGCAATAGGATATCAAGTTACATTGCAGTAACACTATAGGTTTATCGCTCGGTATATAAATCTAATTCATAAAAGCGAATGCAGTTTGCTAAGCCCTACGTATTGAATTATTCTATCAATCAAATTACTTACCAAAACAGCTGAGCTAGTGCAATTGCAATGTAACTACAGCATAGATGAGTTTGTTTTGTTTTTTTCAAAGTGCCACTGGTTCTTACAACTGAAACCCAGTACATCTTTGCCCCCCCAGCCCAATTATTTAGGCAAATGGTACTCTGCAGAAGCTTAAAACCCGTTTGATAAAGCTTCAGCATGCCTGCAGTTGGAAGTTCAGCAGCATAAATATTAATTGCTTTTCTTTTCCATTGGCTTCCTTCAGTCAAACTGTGCAGTTTAAGCAGTTAAATATGTAAATAGTTTCTGTTGAATGGTAATTTTTAATTTTAATAAACACTTAATCTGAAGCAAGTTGTATGGCAGTAACTTGAGACAAAACAAATGGCTGATGTTCTATCCAGAGTGGTAGTTCCATGTGGAACAGGGGAACATCTGTTTATCACCAGGAACAAGATTAATGGATTCTGCTTTCCTTGCACCCATTCAACTTTGAGAAGGTGAAAAGGACCAAACCAGCCCTTTCTGTGGCCCTGTTAGGGTTTCTTTTCAGTCTGGAGGGCAGGAAGAGAAGTCGTCGGTCTTCAGCTGTCCTTTGAAACAGCTTCTCAAAAATCATTAATGTAATAGCATCACAGTCTGTTGCAACTCTTTGGAAAACATTACAGTCAGTACTTCGCTACAGGCTTCATTTTATTTTAAGGAAAAAAAAGCAAGCTTAAGATAATGTAACCTTGTCTTTCAAACCACTTCCTGTAGCCAACCAAAGAGCTCTGGGAAGTAGGAGGGAACATGGAAACAGCAGTTGCTCAGGGAGTAAGAGGTTATGGTTAGTGTTACATACACTTGCTAACATACGCTCTCAGACAAGTGACAGACTACCACGGTGTAGCACTACATCCCTGGAAATGGTATCATAGAAGATTCCTAGCATTAGCCTGTTCTGATGATTTTTTAACTTGTTTGAATATTCCTATTCTTACGTACAAATTGCTCTAACAGCTTCTTATTCGAGGGATCAACACTCAGTGTATTGTGTCACTACACCAAAATACTTTTTAATAGCTGGAATCGTTTCTGTGGGAGTAGAATAATATTTTAGACATTCCACCCTGGAGCGTTATAGGCCTTTAGAACTCCTGGAGCCAGATAACCTAAATTTGACAGAAATAGTTTGAAACAGCAGAACAGCAGTGGCTCAAGCGCTACCTCTCCAGCCCAGTTAAAGACACAGGAGTGTGATTATTTATCGCTGCATTTGCACAGCCTGACCCCGAAACTCAGACCTGGCAAGAAGAGTCACACCAGAGCAGGGCTGTTCTCAGCACCCCGCAGGAAGGCTGGGGTCACCACCTCTGGGCTCCACCGAGAGCCTGAGCTTCTTGCTCTCACCCGGGTCCCCTTCTACTGAGAAAGAGCATTACAGGGCCCGATCGGTTTACTTAGAGGTTCTGCCTTGTTCTAAAGCAATCCTCCAGCACTTACAGGCACGGTACTGTCACAGTAGTTATGGAAAAAAAAAACAACCCTCACTGACTGAAATGGCTCTGACAGAGCGCTATTTCAAATTTCATCATGCTCCAGTCTTGGAGAACTCCTTGAGTTACTGGACAGAGGTAAGGAATATAATCAGGGCTATGATTCTTAACTCAAGGGCATCATATGTCAGTCACTATGACCATTTGGCCTCTACGTTTATGATCTTTCCTTGTCTTCATTTCACTGATTTTCCTCACCTTTACAAAATGAACAGTCAGAGCTTAATTTAGCAATGGAAAATTTTATTATAAATAGAGTTTTCAACGTTTAATGCATATTCTTAGTGGAAATTCAAATGATATTAAAACAAGTTCCTTTACAAAGCCAAGTTAGTTGAAAAATAGCAAGGAGCCAGATAAGACCTCACTTTGTTGCCTCTTTTAGCAATTTGCTCAGTTTCTTCCCAAGACAGCAGTCTCCAGGTCAAAACCAGAATATTAACTGAAGACCCAAGCTATTTTAACTCCTGGAGATTAAGGTAACAAGCCATCTGATTTCTAGGAATCAACAATGAAATGAGAAACTTAATTTAAAAAGGTAACGAGCAGCAGACAAGGAACATCCCACTTTACATGAATCACACATTTATCAGTATAGAAGACCAAGTTACTGAAGAATTAAAATTATATATATGTATTTCTCAAATCACATCCCTATATCAACAGTAAAAGCACAAGTTTAGGTCTAAACTTACATAGCTCTAAATTCAACCCTAATTCAATTTAAAAAAGCTCTGTATTAAACATTTTTCTGTCAGTTAACAAGACAGTAAAGATGGTGTCCGAGTGAGAAAAAGCTACCAACAGTTTAAGTTTGATAAAGCAGCCCAGTAATTGCACACTTTGATTAATCAAATATTATTCTTTTGCTTCATGAGCCAACAGTACATGTTTTCTTGAAGAGGAGGAAGCATCTTCATACTTCCCCCAGCCTTTACCGAGAGGTGAACCAGCAGTGGCTGTTACTGTGGATTTCAGGTTAGCCAACAAACCTCTCCTGGGTTTTTGTCGTTTCGGTTCCTCTGTAGAGGAATGCTTTTTCTGTTCGTCGAGTTCTTTTTGCAGGGAAGACACTGTTTCTTCAAGCTCAAGAACACGTTTAGCCCAATTCTGAAGACTATTCATTTCTTGATCCTGTGAGGATAAGGCTGTGTTAGGTATGTGACCACTCTAAGGTCTTTTTCATGTAGTTAATTTTCTGTTTCAGATTATTTTACTACACCAGTAAACACCCTTGTCATTACTACGCCAAAGGGCTATTCAGTACCCATTTCTTCCGAATTACTTCTATGTAATTTAGAGAACAGCAAACTACAGGCCATCAGATCTAGTCAGAGACCAAATCTGACCAAGAAGCTGATGCTAAAATGCTTAGCCACACGATGCAAAGAATTGCTGCTGTTCTAGGAACCAAATAAAGAAAGCTTTCCTGTCTTGACCTGCAATTACTGAAAGCAAAACTGGCCAAATCAAAACTCTTATAATCGTAAGTCTGCTAACCGGGACTGCTTTGAGCAGGCAGAATACAGGGGCTTAAAGATGCTCTCTAATCCTTGTGGTTAACAGAAAGTCACCTTCCTACGACTTAGAACCAATTAAGAAACAAAGTCCGAGATGAATAATTTTCAGTCTCAGACTTAGACTAAAAAGCATGCACAAAGTAATTTAATGTTCCAAGAAAAACACCACTAAGTAGCCTTATACCTGCCTCGCTTCATTTGCGGAGTACAAATGAGGTATAGGTGCAAAGTGTCAAGAGTTCAAAATTTTCATTTTTTTTATTTAGGAATCTAGTTGATATCTGAGGTCAGATGCTGTCAAATTTATGAAGTCCCTGCTTCGGAAGGAAAGACTTTTGTATTTCAGGATGAAGTACTTTACCTGCCCATAGCTCTTACCCAGCTTGGCCGCCCCTGCAGGAGTGTCAGTATAGCTTTGCAGCCAGAGATCCTTAGGCCTTGTTGCACTAACATTTCTGCATTGACACCTTGCTTGCCCTCAGCAAAACACTTCACGACTAGAGTTCAGAGTAGTATTTTCTTCTCTTGACAATAATTTGTGGCGTCTTTAGATTTGTAGCAAGAGTTGTCAGCACAGAGTTACCCTATTGACAGAGTCTGTCACTTAAGTTGACGAATGAGTCTTGCTTTACAAGATACAAAGTCAAGGAGTGAAACACAAGGGCTCTGAGCTTGTAATTCAGGAAGTTAGGGACAGAAGAAATGCTAACATCAAAAGAAATTAATAAGACTGAACAGTATTTTTACACGTACAAAGATGCAGAAACATCCAGTACAAGTCTAGATACAAGCCGTATTAAAGTCACTTTTAAATTGTTGACAAACCTTGAGCACGATTGTACGCTTCAGCTGACTGTTCTCTTCCGCCATTTTTCTGTAGCCTTCAGTAGCTTCTAGCAGGGTTTCATTTAACTTCTGTATTTTAAACTTCAGGGATTTTATAAGCTGAAAATAAAACCCATACACACTGAAGTTCAAGACAGCATGTTTTACATTAATTTTGTGTATGACTAGAACTCATACAGACACCGTAAGCGTGTGATTAATACTGAACAGGGCAAACTGCAAGATGAAAGCAATGAAGATGAAGTCCGCTTCTCTCAACCTCCTATGTCCCAACCCGTCATTTCTGGTGATAAAATACAGCTGGCACATTCAAAGGCTATTGTGCTGAAGCTACTAGATTTACACAGACCTGTCAATCAAACAGCAGCACAGACTAAGCTACTTCTGGAACAGTCTGCTCCTTTTCAGCAGTGAAAAGAATGATCTCGTCTCATTAACACTAGTCATACGATGAATTGGAGCACAGCTACAACAGAAGACCTCACCTTTCTGACGGGAATCTTGATAGATTCATTCCTGAGAGGGAGAAGAAACTGAACCAGCAAAATTAATGTTGTATCATTAATTTACCTCTACAAGGTTGGAGGGAAAATATCTAGACTGCTAAAAAAAAACCATATCTTTTGCCCATGTTTAATGGCTGAACGTAGTGAATCACTCCTCATACATGCACAGATACGTGAGGCAAAGCAGAAGGGCACTGATGGAACCAACTGCTTTAAACTGCTCTCACTTCCGTTCTTGCCAGGCAGCAATCCCACCATTCTAACGCTTTCTAGCCACACAAAACCATCAATACTGGATCTCCGTATCAAGCACAAAAGCCAAACTTTCATCAAAATTTGAAATTTACATAGGAAATGGAAAATGATGTAGAGCTCTCAAGAACAGGAGTGGAAAACAAGTGCCAAGGCCATAACACAAGGCATTAAACTTGGCAAGGTAAGAGTTATTTTTGGAGGACACTTTCTCAATAGAAAGGGATTTAAGTTCACTTCCCATTTACATGGTTTATTAGAACCAGCTGGAACTATTTCTCCAACCCCTACTCCTATTTGGTATTAGTGAAAGGAGCAAGGCTTGTCTCTGCCCTCCTCCCCATCCTCTTTAAACATGGGAAACTAACTGCAGCCTTACAAGAAGTTCATTCAAGGCATAGACTAAAAATGCATACCTAAAAATAATTGTTTTCCAGAGCACAGCCTGAAGTTCATAATTTCCACCTCTACATGCTATTCAGAACACAGGGATCTTGTTTGTTTGAAGAACAGAGACATCACCCTTTCCTTAAGTTTAAGGGGATAGTGGAGTTCAGTACTCACAGAAAGGACTGGTTTAAGGCACTATTTTGGCTCTAGATCTAAACGGTTACCAGATTCTGTAACTGTTCCCCTGTGCACCAGCAGGAAGGAAAGCACTGAGGCCATGGCAGCAACATTTACAATAAATCCCAATATAAGGCCATATACTGCCCTACTTCCAGCTCGTATCCTGTTCACCCTGTGACTTGTCACAGTAGTAGATGTCCGTACAAACTACAGTAAAGCCAGAACACAGCCAATTTCTGGCAAAAGCCATCCACACTTGGGCGAGGGCTTTTTTTATAAACTTGACACCCATTTGCGGGAATCTTCATGCTTTTGTCTATAGTGCAGATCTTTAAGCATTGAACCACACCAGACATTAGGACCGTTATCCCCAGGTTTGTTAAATACTAAGCAAGAGCTACCTCTTCTTTCTCTTTGCATTGTTTCTGCAGTCCTTCATTGGCTCTCTTCGTCTTGTTCATAAGATCTACAGGAAAAAGAAAAGTTTTCTTGTTTATACACAATACCAAAAGTAAATTGAACTTTGAATATCCAGATTAGATTCCTACCTAGTTCCATGTTATTTTCAGCAGTCGGTGTATCTGAATTTGGATTTCCCAGAGCCAACAGCCTCCCTGACTGTTCATCAAGTTGCCTTTCCAATTGCAGTATTTTACTCTCTCTCTCCTGAAAAAAGAAGGGCATGTGGTAGGATTTGTCTAAATTTCTGCTTAACCTGATGCAGTTTTAAAATCACTTCACAGGTGGAAGTTGTGATGGTTGTGGTTGAGATATCACAGTAAGGAATGACACTTAGACCACAGGACCCTGTAGGAGAAAGTTACTTTACACCAGAGTCAGCTCTTCCAGTCTAAAGATTTCCAAACTGCCTTAAAAGTAACCATACGGCAGAAAGGAAATTTTCGTGCATCTATGTTAACCACTGTTGCCAGTTAGCTTGCTAAATAAGGAAGAACATATTTCATAGAACTAAATTTTAAATCTCAATCTCCTTTTCAGTACCTGTCAGATTGCTAGGGTTGTATTTCAGACTGAAGAATCAAACAAGTGTCACCAAGAAAAACGATTCATCTAATTCTGGTTCTCTGAAGCTGCCTGCTCAGATTTCATGTTGTGCTCTCCTTTCTCAATTAAGAATTTTACATCTTGGGGATTTCATCAGGTTTTTATCTGACTTGTTACTAAGACCATCTTGCTCTTTGAATCTTCCCTTACGCAGCCTTGTGGCCAGCCTAAGAGGCAGCTGTAAATACAGAGAGCACTACTCAAACTCTTTTCCTCCACCCCAACACGGTGTATAGCTAGGGCTTAAGTGAACACAAAAACAAAGTCTAAGTGGGGAAAAAGGACAAGCGTGAAGGAGCTGGAAAACCAGAGGCCATTACACAATACAGTGTTGCCTGTCAGCACCTAAATGGAGAGCTGTAAAAGCAGAAGTGTTTATATATCGTGATCTACAACAGAAACCCGCTTCCCGTGTCTTGAAAGGAACCTGCCTACCAGTGGCATGAGACATCTTATCAGTTCCTGGGCAGGAGAGCACAGTGAGAAAGCACCTCTGGTGTACACCACGGCTGTTCTAGTCCTCTTCCAAAAAGGCTGAGACCCACAGGTCTCATCTGTTGCCTGCATGCACTTAGCCATCTATGCAGAGGCTAGAAGTAAAGACTGATAGAGTTGCACATGGCTCACGTGGTTCAGTTGCAAAAGGAATAGCAATTTACTGATGTCAACTCTGAGCAGTTCTAGGCGTAAGTACATTCAGGAGATTAAGTTCTCTCCTGCATAAAGTTTGATTTCTCATCACAGTTTCTTTTATCGCACAATCCTCCCCCTCCAGATCTTCAGAGCAGAAATCCATTATAATTAAAATAGCTACCCTGTACTAAATTCCTCCCCACCCTCTCAGACCAGCTTTTCCTCTACACCCCACAATCCCAAGGATCCCCACAAAGCCCGACTGCTGCATACACCACCCCTCTAGGTGTTCCAGACATTGCACTACAGAGATAAAGATGACTTGGATTTAATTGAACTGTGCCCTCAAAGATCAAGAAGTTTAGACACACACTACAGGTAGCATGAGACAGAAGACATCTCTATGCTTACGGTTAGCATTGGACACCAGAACAGCTAGGCTGAACTGCTAGTTATTTTGACTGTTCGGTGTTACATTTAGGATTCCTGAATGATTCTGTTAAGGAAAAGCAAAATCTACAGTTAAGAGGTTAGCACGCATTTTTTTAGCGGCAGTCGAGTCATACCTCAACTTTCTCTTGTTCAGCTAGAAATTCTTCTATGGGAACATAATGGTCTTCAATTTGTTCCATTGCGCACACATACGCATGTTTCTTGATGGCCTCCTTATACATTTCAAATTTGCTCTCCAGTTTTTCTTCATAACTGTCTTTCAGATCTTCCAAGCGGTTGCTGAGGAGAACATGTTAGTTTTATTTAATATATTAGCATTCCAGCTATCACAGTTTGACTACATGTGTTCAACTGGCAATATCAAAGTTATTCATCTAATCATAAATAGTGATATTAAGAGATCAAGGAGTACTTTTCTGCTTTTTATTCTCAATGATCCTACAGACTTGCACCAAAGTGTAACTTCTACTTGGCATATACAAAAAGAGCACTATAGAAGAAGATATGCGCTTAAGATCTGTCAAATAAAAGCTTTATTAGAAAAAATCCACCAGCATGTAGCAATAGATATGACTACATCTAATTAGACCTAATATTTGAAGTATGTTTCCTGGGGGTGTCTTTCACATTGGTCATTTGTTGTTTTGTTTTGTTTTTTCCTCATTAAAGATAAGGTAAAATGAATTTGGTATTTATTTCAATACATTAGACATTACTCTTGTCACAATTTTAAAAAATGCCCAGGCAGTGACACAGAACATCACCTCAACAGAGAAAAAGCATCACTGCTGTTTCATGTGTTTGGCCAGAGGCACCCAAACAATTTGAAAGTCAGAGCAGGTGTTAAACCATAGTGTGTTCAGCTGGCAACTTAACTTGGGGTTACTCTCTGTTAGCAATTCAAACAGCAGGAAACTGATTTCAAGAAGGCGGGAGTTAAGAGGAAGTGAATTCAGCTTGAGCAGTCTGGACACACTTGAAAAAATGCCCAAATTAGTAACATCAGTGCAGGCAGCCACAGACAGTAAGCTAACAGTGGCTCCTAAGTCATCCAGGAGCAAGAATCCAGGAGAGCTCAGAGATACAATTCAAACTACCTTAAGCACACGTGCATGCGTATTAGCACGATCAAATGCAAGTTTTGGAACAATCACAAGCCTCAGTGGGGTACCTGTAATAGTCTTTCACATTGGCTAAACACGAATAACAAGTCTGGACAATCTCCAGTAATTACAATTTAAACAGAGAAAAGTTCAACAGAAAGCAAAATTTCTTCTTCATTGCACATGGGAAGAGGCTGATCTGTACAAGTCTATTTTAATGTTCCTTCCTCCCTTTTCATCAGAAGCTTTGCAACTGTCCAGCTTTAACTTCTCTAAATAACATGAGTATGCATGTCTTGCATATACATACATATATACACATACGTATGTATATACATATATAAGTGTATGCATTTATATACGTGGAATCCTTTCAGTCTTGAAGAGGGCTGCGATATTACTTGCCTCCAGGCTTCCTCTGTTTCCAGCAGCTGTCGGAACATTGCTTCTGCCATCTCTCTACGTATCTTCACCTCCAGGAGGAGTTTGCTTTGCCTTTCTGCAACTAGCTTCTCCTTTAGGTTCTCTGTAGTTTTCAAGAGATCCTAAATTTAACGTATTTCAGGTCAGAAAACAAGCTAGAAACACATATTGATATGCATGTCAAATGAAATATTCATACAGACAGCCATCCACAGGGTGCATTTCTACAAGCCTGCATTTCCAAGGGGGCTGCACCAAAGGTTAAATATTTTCAAACATGAATTTCTACTGCAAAGACAACCTTCCTCCATCTTGATGGCTTCTGCCATCAAATAGTTTATTACTGTTTGGGCATTTAAATATTAATTTATACAACCATTTAGCATAAAGCCTACTTGATTTTTAGTTTATTGCTATTAGATTGTATATCTTTGTTTTTAAAATACTGCATCTGAACTTGTTCCTCCTGTTCCCAAAAGAGCACAAACGACTAAACGTTGTTTCAAACATACATACTGCTTCTTTATTCTTCCCGTTGAACAATCAGTTGAATTCCAAATTTAGCACTTGACCTAACTAGAAAGCCGCAGGCAGCCTTCCACAACTACACTTTTTTCTTCAGAACTAGACCACTTTAAGTCTAGGTCTGCCTGACACTGAGCAGAAGCTTACAGTTCTCATCTGATACAGCTTCCAGCACAACTCTTAATGGTAAAAGGTTTAACACGAGAACTAAGAGCATGTCTCCACCTCATGACTGTGGTAGGACTGAGAGAACCGAGATGTCTCTACCTCATGACTCAGAATGGTGATGTCCACTTCCTCTTCTGCAGAGGTTTCAGTACTGTCAGGAAAGTCATCTACAGATGTGTTCGCATCGAAGTGCATGATAGGTTTGCCTCCAACTAGCTTGGGTGGAAAACAGCCAAAACTTCTGGGTAGGATTGTCTGGATTACCTGGAAAATCCAGGAGTTGAATGCACTGATTTACCAACGCTGTCAATATTGCAGATATCAGAATACTAGGGAGAAGTGGCATGAATGCATTGTTGTATTTACACTATATTTAACAAGCACAAGAACATTAACAAAGTATTCCGTGTCTTTCAGCACATAAAACCATCTATCGATACAAATATAAGACTTTAACAAATTGACAATGGGAAAGATTATCTAACAAACTTCGTATTCTTGTCTAGAAAGATGTTTTTTCTCCCCTTATAATAGAAGGTTTTAGTGTAGTTTCCTGGAAAGTTAATGAAAAGCAGCAGATCCTCAAAACATTTGCTCCTTCCTGAAATACTGCAGCCAGAATTCAGCAATTTGTGCTAGTTACGTAAAGATTTTAAGTATGTATGTCATAGGACAACATATCAGAGAAGCTTGTCTCCTCAGTGCACATTTATCTCTTGATGAATGTTGCAGCTGAAGAGAATTAGAAAAATCTTTCTCTGAGATCATATTAGACTTGCTGTTACAGACTTGGAACATGTCAGAACTAATCCGTGGTTCCAGACTAGAAAAGGACTTTATTTCTGCCATGAAACCCAGCATAGCCCACCATCCCACTCCCTGCAAGCAGCCACTTCCAGGGAAGCTGAATGAACTTAAGACCAAATATCAGCCCCAAGTCTTCAATTTAATGGGAGGCTGACAAGCAGAGCCAGCAAAAAAAGCATGAAAGCATGTAGATTTAGCAGAGCGGAGTTTGCCTTCAGAGGAAAGGAGCACACTACCTTGAAGCATTAACTTACCAATAAAATGTCTTCCCTTTTTGTTTGTTATTAACTACTCGCACTTAGCCAAACAGGAGCAATGAAGGCAGTATCTCATTTAAACTACCAAATAAGAAAAAGGCTGCTGCTTTTACTACCACCACTAGCTGCCCAAGAAATTTTGGACAATTGTCATCTTGTGCAACAGATACTAAACTGTACACAGGTTAAACAATTCATCAAAAGCTTGAATTGAAATCTTGCATTTGCTCAGATATACCGTATAACTAGTCATATCTGACAGTGGCCCGACTACTTTTTACACAGAATGTTGGTGGTGTAGAACTGAACAAGCCAGACAGCTGTAGCCATCTTAACTTCTTACCACAAATAGGTCTGGGGATGGACAAGGCTACTAGCAGCCTTTTAGAGGGAAGCCATACACAGAAGAATATGATACATCAGAAGTCCAAAGCACGCTCATGCCCATACAACCTGATCATTTCACAAACCAATAGTAACAAAGAATGCAGAATAGCAGAGAAAGTAGGTGAACTCTTACCTGCTTGGCTAAAGCTGAAAATTTCATTACATGTAGTGTTTCATCATAGGTGGAAGCATGCTGATTAATATTTACAATCATACAAGCTTTGCCTTTTCCACAAAAGAATGGCTGAAACAGACGAGTCAATTTGCTCTCTCTGAATGGAATATAGCTTGGCTTCATCCTCATGGAGAAAAGAATAATAAAATTGTGAAACAAAAAATAACTTGTAAAATTATGTGATACTATAACTTAGCTTAATTCTGTTTCTCTCTTTCAGGAAACAGATCCAGTAGGATGCTCATATTTAAGCCTAAGGTCTTTCACATCAAAAAGCAAGGTCTTTCCTGGATCTCACAAGCTCTTCAACAAACTGAACTATTTAAAATTAAGAATAGTATAGTGCCTGCATCACAGTTCTCTAGTGTTACAAAGCAGATACAGGGCATCTGTCAGCTGTCTGATGAATCTACCTGTATAATTTGGAAGTGGGAGGGAAGAGGACAAAACAGGAGCTCTGTACACAAAGTGTATTGCTCATACACACACACGCTAAAAAAAGCTGGGTAGTTTGCTGCTAATTGCCCTTTTTTATTCTCCACAAACAGAGAAAGAATTTTTAGAGAGTTTTACAGAAAGAATGTTCAGGTATCCCAGTGACATCTGTAATAAAGAAGGCTTACAAGATTTTGTAGAATTCCATTTTCCTCTGACCATGTGAACCCCCCTAAAAAAAGCTGGGTAGTTTGCTGCTAATTGCCCTTTTTTATTCTCCACAAACAGAGAAAGAATTTTTAGAGAGTTTTACAGAAAGAATGTTCAGGTATCCCAGTGACATCTGTAATAAAGAAGGCTTACAAGATTTGTAGAACCATTTTCCTCTGACCAAATGAACCCCCCGCAGAAACATAAAGGGATGCTTAGGGTTTCAACCCAAAACTCGGCATGTTGTTTACAACTTGTCACTTACTTTGGATTTTGATTTTGCTTCAATGCTGCAATGCATTTTCCAAGGATATGAAGAGAATTATTAATATTCCCTGCTTCTTTTAGTCTATCTCCAAAGGCTTGTGTTTTATTACACCTCTCTGATCCAGCCAAGTCACAGAAAGACAACCTGCAGGAAAGTTACCCACAACACACAAACTTGTTTCTAAACAATATGAAAATAGAACTACATGTCTTTTTATTTCTTTGTGTCTAAAGAGTAAATGAATGACTCATTTCAGTCTACGTAGATCACAGAATAAGCTGTACTTTAATGTGGACATTTTTTCCAGGAGGCACTACACAAGGTATTTAGGGTAACAGCATTAACCTATCTATCTTCCCACTGTATATAAAGATACTTGTTCAAGATTGCTGCTCCTAAGATAGTCTATTTAGCACATTCAAAGAAGTCTGCTTGTAACATTCATCTAAAACCTTATACGCATTCTTACATAAAGAATTCAGTTTAGGAACCCAAATTTCATTGCAATCCTAAAGGACTTCCAGACAAGAGGAATTTCTGAAATGGTTTTGCATAGCGGGGCTATACTACAGAAGCACTTTGACAGTCACCTTCCCCAGTGCCAGCACCGAGAGGGCTGCAGGAGAGCAGTGTGCTTCAACACCCTGCAGTCTGCCTCTCTTGGCTACAGAACCAGTTGTTCACTGCTGCAAAGAAGAGGCTAGAAGTCCTTCCCAGATCACCTTAGAGCTCTTTGTTTGGCTATAGCAATTGTGTGCTACTAAACTCAGGCCACTGAATTGTCCCTCATGGTACAATAGGTTAGTCAGAGGCAATTATCCTGGATAATCAAAGGAATTTCATCACTTTTACTTTATATTAAGCAAGCCCTTGAAATACAGGAAGCTCTGGAAGTTAGGTAATTTATATAACCAAACTATTACTCACTTACACATACATTTATTTACATAAAATAGCACCTTTGTAAGATCATAGCCCTTCACACAGCTGAAATAAGTACATACTAATACTATACATATTATTAAGGCACATATTTCAACTGTGTGAAATGCTATGATTATTATCCTTTTCAGGACAAGATGAAGAGCTTTTTTCTTCCTTAAGCAACACACAAACTCTGTCATTCACCTAACAGCTGCTGCAAGCTTTGCCAGGGGAATACACCAAGCCAGGGAACAGCAAGGAATACAGATGCAGTCACTTCCTCAAGTTATCTTTCCTTAGTGTTTATCACTGTAACGTCTGACATTAAAAGGTGTTATCTCACCGTGAGGTATATTTATTACCACCTCTGCTCAGCAGAGACAAGAGAGAAATCAGTAGGAGCTAGGACTGATCTAAAACACTGTTACAGGTTGTTCTCATTTTTCCATATCAAGCTAAAAGGACAATTAATCAGGGAAAAAAAAAGCCATCTAAATGGCTTCAAGTCAAAAGATTAAAGGTGTTATCTCACTGTGAGGTATATTTATTACCACCTCTGCTCAGCAGAGACAAGAGAGAAATCAGTAGGAGCTAGGACTGATCTAAAACACTGTTACAGGTTGTTCTCATTTTTCCATATCAAGCTAAAAGGACAATTAATCAGGAAAAAAAGCCATCTAAATGGCTTCAAGCCAAAAGATTAGGCCACCTCCTCTAAGGCACAAAAGAACAGAGAGGTGTAGGGACTTAGCACTGCTCTCACAGGGTGCACCTACATTAGCTTTTTCAATTAGGAGAACAGTTTTTAAGCAAATCACTTGACGATTTCCTCTTACTGCAGCTTGTACCGTGGAGCAGACCCCAGACCATGTCACCTGCATTCTTTTTGGATGATAGACTTGAATTTGCATTCCAGGAGCACATCAAATATGCTGCCACAAACATTCAACCCATGAACTCTGGTCTGGTCCCAAAGTAGGAAGATACACTGGCAGAGCTTGCACCTTGGGCCTTCAGCACAAACTGCTGCACTCCAACTTCATAGATCAGCTTCCATCAGCCAGCCAACTGAATTCTGCTTACCAGAATACGTAGTGTGGTATTGCACAGTACTCCTCTGTCCCCACCTGCCCATTAGGTAAGACAATATACATCTATTTCCCTCCATTTATGTACTACTGACAGAGTTTCAACAGGTTCCTTCAGCCAAACCTTAAAAGAATAGAAGAGACAGGGAAACATTTCTATGCCTGTCCCCATCAGGTTTCCAGTAAGTTTTATGCAGCCAACGGAGTTCTGATTTCCTTCTCAGCTCTCAGATGATTTGTTTAATAAAAGAAAGTTCACCAGTTTAGCATGCTTACACCTTATCAACTTTTCTAAAATATTTAGATTCTGAAACACATCTGAAACATTCACTTACTCTGAAACTCCAAGAACACGTGGCTGATGCTCATCAGTTAGCTTTAGTAGCCTGATTGAAAATATACTGTGACTGGAATGGAAAGAAGTCTTTTTTAATAACCACAATTATGAAAATTAAGCAGTCACTGAAGCAAAGTAAAATTTGTATGCTACAAAAGTTCAGTGCTGAAGAACAAACAAGAATTAACTCACTAATTTACATTAGTTACCTTCGCAATGCATTCATTCAGCAGCAAAAAAGCAGCAATAAAAGTTGTATTTTGTGACTTTCCATTTCTTTTAATACAGGAAAGGGAAAAATACCACATGAAGCCTACAAGCTGTCTTGGAGAAAAAACAAACTGGTTCACTTAAGTCAACTGATCAGAAGATGAGTACTTAGGTAGCCACTTTGTATACAAAGTTTAGGCAGTATCTGAACTCAGTAAATCTGAAGAATTAACTTCTTAGAAATAAATAGGCATGAGGGAAGGGGAATAAGTTAAGGTTTGACAGTCCTGTAATTTTGCCTACTTCAACATACACAGTTATTTGTTCAGTTTTGAAAATATTCTGTTTTCTAGAAAGCTGAATTTGTAACACTTGAAAATCCAGTTATTCTGTTTCAGACATCAAGCTACAAAGGCAGTGGACATACTGTCTGAAACCAAAGAGAAAAATCGCAGAACCAGAAGTGCCCTGTCCCCAGTTTATCCAGTAAATCAGGAAGCACAGAAGACAAACTTCTCTAGTATATATTTGAAGCAGTGCTTTACTCCTCAGCACCAACCCACAATTTAAGAATGAAGTTTCTAAAAAAAACACACACACAAAACCAAACAAAACCACAATTTAGAAACAAGCTAGGTGAAAGTCAGCATATTCACTAGACAAAAAAAGAGGACATTCTAGGCACAAAACTCCACCAGAAAAAGCACACAATTCTTTTCTGCGCTACTTTGGGCTTGAGTGAAATTCAGGTAGAATCGTAGCAAGAAATATAATGCCAGCTTTCTTTAGCCAATACAGAACAGCATAATTCTGCTTTTTAGAGAAAAAGCAGGCTTAGTAACACTATGATTATATTAACCAAGTATACAATATGTCCCTTCCACACTTAAAGGACAAATTAGTAAGAGGACATTAAAATCAAGTAAGAAGGCATTTTCAACAGAAAGTATAGCACCACCTCTATTTCCTCCCATTCCATCAAGCCAGATTCTCCCTGATCCCTCTCCAGAGCTGGGTAAGAACTAGGAGCTTAATTCCTAAGCTACCGAGTAAGCTCAGCTAGAACACACCAATCTAAAAGCATCTAGATAATCTAGCAGCCCTGCAAGGTACTGCATGACTCGCTGCTTCCTAGATCTCCTACTGACAGGGTCCAGGTTTCCAAGAATTATCCTGCCAGTGATGAAGAATTATCCAGCTTTTCCTTCAACATCGCCACACAGCCATTCCCACTCAGCACCGTTAGCATTTGCCAAGATGTACAGCCCTGTTGGCACTCAAAAATGAATGTGATTGGATCTTTTTGGTTATCCAGCGCCATGAATAGCAACTCAAGTCCAGCTACTATTAAAGGCATAGGGCCTCTCCTAGCTTTCTTCCAGAAAGAATTTCATAATAAAACCAGAATAATCAAGGAAAGTCTTAAACTATTACTAAAGAGTGGTTCATCTCAAATATATTCTAAGTCTCCTCCTCCCTTCCCCTCCTCCCTCTCCTTAAAAGAAAAGGGACAGAGTATGCTTATAATTACAGGAACAAACCTCCTACTTGATTGCTCATTCATTCTAGTACAAGCAAAGCTTCGGTTCTTGTTTCCTATTTTTAGTATTTTGCAGGCTTCTTCAGTGCTCTGAATGTTAATCCACTTTAAGTCTGTGAAAAGAGACCTTTTACATACAATTCTGATCAAAGAAATTCTGTGAAACTGCTGGGGTCATAAACCAGAATTATTACCTTTAATATATGAATTTCCTCCTTGATCCTCACAAATTCTTAAGACTCTGCGCTTCTGAGTTTTTGATGTAGATAAGACATTTAATAGGTCATACACATATTCATTATAAATTTCACAAAAGGAAATCCACACAGATGCTTGCGTTCTTTGGTGTATATTAGTCCTATATATGTCAAGTGGAACAAAATTCTTCTCTGCTAACCCAAAACAGAGAAAGAGTTCAATGATCAAACAACTCATTGATCAATTTTAATTACAGTATATCAAACGTTCTAAAAGGAGGAGGCTTGTATATATCTGTGTTGTACAATCAGATACACAGTCCCGCATAACTTTGAGTTTACCCAAGAACGTTCAAACTTCTCGGCAGTCACCTGTAACCAGAATATGTTCCAGTTCTAACCTATTGCCCCCTCTACCACAAGCTTCCAGCAGTTTATACATTTGCTTTGTAGAACTAAGCCTCCCTCTTCCCCCAAAAGAAGTAAAGCTATCAAAATATTTTTACATAGTTACTCTTTCTCCAGAGCTGAGCCATTAGCATTTGGTTAAAAACTATATATATTTACTTTGTAGTACAGTATAGAGGTTTTATAAATCCATCAATAGTTAACAATTTTAAAAAAAGTAAAAATTTAGGAATATTTTTCCCCACAAAATTTTTCCACTTTATTTTACCTAGTGAATCAGAAGGAAGACTTTTTGAAGTACAGTTGGAAGAATCTGACGTCACATCGCACATATTTGTCACAGTATCTGAGATGCTTTCTGTCTCCTTAAGAAAGTAAGAGACCGTTACATCCACATGAAAAGACTGAGAACAGCAGAAGTTAAAAATTACAGTAATTCCAGTACTTAAGATTTAAATTTTGAAGTAGTATTAACTGTTAAGTCACCTTTACTTTGGCTGCAGATTATATGTTTTGAACAATACTGAACTAAAAATCAGTAAATGCTCTTTCCTTCACAAGAATCACTGCGCTCTGCTACTCTCAGCAATCCGTTTTGGAGGTCAATTGCTGCTAACACAGGAGACTGACTTTACAGTTCTGGGGGAAGGAAGATCCTCTGTCAGGCTGCGACAGCCCAGAATGCCTTTATGAACTATCGGACAACTCTGAACAGTACTCCAGTCAACCAAAAGAACTGGAGGAGGAAGTTTTTTTCAGGGGCAGATGGCAGGGTGCTGGCAAAACTACGGCAGCAGAGATTCCTAATTTGCTTGCTCGTTGCAAATCACTTTTGCAAATGACAGGCTTGTACCAGGTCTGCGAGAGTATGAGTCAAACCTACTTTAAGACCTCAGAGTGAAATGATAGGTTCATAAAGGACTTAAAGATCTGATAAACCAACAGACTATGTCTGTTTAATTCAGACTGAATTAAAAGGCCATTAAAAATCCCGTATAGATAACAGCACAGTTTAAGTACACACATTTGCTGAATTTCTTTACATCAACAAAATTATTTTAAAACCTGCCAAGACTTACCAAAGCATAGGCTTCAAATTACCCCTAGGAAAACGAGTGTAACGAAGTAGCAACTCCCACTATTCAGAGATTCCAACATCTCCACATACTACCTCCCTCCCCATGTTTTACACACTGATCAAGTTTTCATTAGGACATTCACCCTGATGTCCCAAAACTCAATCCTGATAGAGGGTCATCCTACAGTAGGAGATAGGAACGCATTCCAAGTAGTAAACCTTAATGCTCTAGCTGTTCGAATGCAGTGCCAAGTTCATTATGGATTATCTACCGATGCCTATGTTACTCACTTGTTATATCCAAAAGGGAATTTTCACAAACAGAAAAGTATGAAGCCATACTTTCCGATCTTCCATTTTAGAGGTAAATAGCATATGATTTCACTGTCGTTTATTTTATAAGTGACCATTTTGCAAAGACTGCACTGTCTATACGTTCATGTTTCTTGAAGAGTTACAAGTATAACCACAAGCACAGATTCTATTCATTCTGTTTGTGAAGCTCAAAGCAGAATTCCAAAGCAGGGTATGGGACTGACAGGCATGGCATATCTGTGGATGTCAATTGTAATGGGATGTAAAAAACCCAGTACCGCAGTACTTGTGCACGTAGTAGTTTTTTTGTAAAGGTATTTCACCAAAACTGAGTTAGCTCTGTTGCTAGACTGTTCTTTGAATCATAAGACCAAATACAGAAAAGAGCATGAAAATGACTGCCTGAAAACAAGTGGGAACAGGAACTGACATTGTTTGCCAGCGACAGAAGCTGACATTTAATAGCAAATACAAGGACAGGCAGGAATAGGAATGCAAGTAAAGCAGTTTTTAATCCACTAAAAGGCAGTATTTAATCCCATGAATAGAACAAGTAAAGGGAAGGAAAGAGAGGGTATGAACCATGCTAAGCAAGAGTTTTTGCAGCAGTACTGTATAGAGAACATAAACAGTAGAACATTAAATAAAAGGGTATTGCAGTAACTCAGAGCAGTTTAAACTGAGACAATGAAAGAACAGCAAGCTCTTTCTGCGTGACATGTAAACTGAGCCTGGGAAAAGGGCCTACAGAAATCCATGTAAACCAAAACCAAGCCCACCAAACCGTATCTGCTCTCCGATTACAAGCTTGAGTGAGCATCCGAACAGGGATGCTATTCATTCACAAGCTATCAAGAAGGACGGCTTCAGTACTGGGGACAGCTGAGCCATCACTGTGGAAGCATTGTAACACATAAGCAAGGTCTTGTCATGCATTATTTTCTAGATGCATTTTTATTTTTCCTTCCTGATGGTGGAGTCTTGCTTGCTTTTCAATGTAGTGCATCAGCACCTAGATCACCCTCTGCGACATCCAGTAACTAAACGATTAATAAAGTCAGACTGTGATTTAACAGAAAGGAACATCTGTAAAGGAGAGAGTTATCTTCAAAATAAGATATTTGACCTCCTGATCTAGACCTGGAGCTCCTGCTTGCTCCTTCTTGCAAGCTTAAGGGTTCCATAAAGTTTTTAAAAATATTTACCTACTATCCTCCTAACCCTGTCAATTTTTCTTTTAGACTCCCACCCCCCGCACATGCATATACACACACAATGTGAGTGAGCTTTTAAAACACTCTCAAAATAAATATGCAATCTTTAGCATCTTTTAGATTTTCACCTGAGATCTTTCCTCAAAAGTTAACCAGACTCACACTAAACAAAGTTTGGTTCACAGAGTTTAAATTAAGCAATAGAATTTAGAGTGGAACTTTACATATGAATTTGATTCACAGAAGGATATTCTTTCAGAGCTGACGGGAGTACTTTAACAACATTGGTATTAAAGAACACAGAAAAAAGAAAATCCAGTCAATCATTACTTCTATATTTCCCAGAATTCATTCACAGTCGCTTTGAATGATAATCAGCTGAGCCTACTGCATTTTGGGATTAAATGCACAGAATCACAGATCAGGTAAAAATGATCTGAACAAAAGGGAAAAAAAAGGCAGACATCTTGTGTTGCAAACCTGCCAATCTGCAACTAGGCTTAGAGGTACAGAACAGTCACACACACAAGGGTGCCCATTTCTTACACTGGAAACAGAAAAAAACAGATAATGAGAACAGGAAGCTGCCACAGTAAAGACCCCTCTATTCTACCTGCAATCTTCAGAGACCAGAGTTAAAGATATATACAACCCTCTAAAGTAGGCTGTAATCCTTTTAGGATATTCATTTTGTGGCATCTCATTTCACTTGCTGTATCAGAGAAGTTTCTGCATGAAGTTACATAAATCATAGGTTTACAAAATTTTTAGTCTGCCTTGAGACTGTCTTCCACCAAAAGGGACTCTTCTGGTTTCTTCGCTGCCCCTGCTAAGACATTGCTATCATCTCTCCTGAGCCAATACCGGAATTTGAGCAACTGCCCTGACACTCAGCCTGGCAACCTGACCCAAAAGAAGATTCACTTAACAAGAAGGAGGTTTTAGATAGGTCAGGTCTTAGACTTTTCAAGGGCTAATGTCACCACAGAGTCAGAACTGCTCCTCTACAGAAATCCAGGCTTTGGCTTTGCAATGCTTTTTGGTTTGAACTGTGTGCTGACTGCTGAAGAAAGTTTCTCCAGTTCACTCTGAGCAACAAACCAGCCAACTGCCTTATTATGCCAAGGTTCACCAAGTGTTCATACTGTAGATTTAGATAACTCTAAAGAATCAACAGTGAAATAGAGATTTTATTAAAAGATAGTCTGTTAGACAGGAAGCTTTTAAGAAGCTTGATTCAGTACCAAGAAAGTATTTGGTCACTGACCTCTTTCAGTGATGCAAGAATAGCAGTTTTTATGGCTTCTTCTTGCTTAACTTGTGCATCTTCTAGTTTCTTAACATCATTGCTCAAATATGGTTTGAACTTCATCTTCAGGTAATGTCTTCCCCTTATGTGGCTAAAAATCACATCAAGTGAGCGAGGTAAAATACCAAAATCTTTTGAAGTCCCTTAAAAAATAACAAAAGATAAAATGTAGACATTCATATAAACCTTCTCATTGGATTTTGACTTGGTTGTTATACAAGTTTTTCAGCAAACATTTTATACCTTGGATAGTGAATGTCTTGCCTGCATTTGTAACCCCATAAGTAAACACCAGCCCGTTCACTCCATTAACGTACGCTCTTACTATCTCTTTCATTGAGCCTTCAAAAAATTCATTCTGAGTAGTTTCTGGTCCAAAGACCTTGGAGAAGGAGAAAGAAAAAAAGAGGGGAAAAAAAGAGTGATAAATGGCACAAAGAAGTTTAATATATCAAAATATTAAGCACTGATTAATAGTGACTAGTTTTTCAGAGCAAGCTGAGTAGGAGATACCAGCTTAGTTTTCAGTCTTGCCTGAACCCTTTCTGATTCAACATTTTCTGTTGGGTTCTCATAGGATGATTCCTTAATTCTGAGAGGCACTCAGGCTTGCACTTAGGAGTAGGAAAACATTCAAAAATAAAATAAACTGCTCAGAATGCTACTGAGCACATACTCTTTACTGGATACTTTCAAGAACTCTGCTACTGATGCACAACTCCCTCCTCACTCTGCACCAGCCACCCACAATTGAGATCAGCATTACAGTGCTTTAAATCACTCAGTGCCTGGTGCTGTTTATCTTTTGATACTGTAAGAACAGAATTTCTTGCAGTAGGTAACAGACTTAAGAAATTTACTTTCCATATAGAAGGTTTAAGCAGTTAGGCTGCTATTCTTTCATTTGAAAGTGCCTAAACACATGCTCACGTAAGTCCCTTTAAATGTGCGATTTCCTGTAACACTTCCCAGATGAGGGCATCTGCAGGAACAGCAGAACCACAGAAAGTTTGTTCCTACACGAAGCTTCTTTAGCATCTACTCAAAGAAAACATAGCTGCCAAAGAAGCTTCCTCATCTCATCTAACAGGCACTTCCATTGTAATACAGCTGTCTTGACAGCCTAACAGTAAATAATAAGCAGTCCGGGTTTTTTTAAGGCAAGTACCACCATATGTAATTCAAAGAAGGGGGAAAAAAAAATAAAAATCACATTGCATCATATAGTAGAAAATTCAATTTTTATTTTAGTGGAAAAAACCAAACTACAACTAAAAATTAGAAAAAAGTTTGCCCACCTGAGAAAAGGTGAACCTGTGCACAGAATGACCAATCCCTCTTTCACTGTTTTTCATGGCAGAAGACTCTTTGGGTGCATTAAGAACTACGGTCTGGGGATCTTCGATAGTTACACAGCCCTTAAAAAACAAGACAAGGTAAACCAAAACACCACGCAAAATTATTTAGGAAGAAAGCTATCTGGGGAAAAAAAAGTGTTTTCATCTATTAACCAGAGCTACAAAGAGTTGCAAAATTTACATGTAATCTTTACTGAGGCATGTAACAGCTATAGAGATATCCACTTCACATGAAAGCCAGAGTGTAGACAAAGTTAAGGCAGTTGTCTGCAGTTTTCTAAGAGGTATGAAATTTCTCTAGGATTCCTTCCAGCAGTTGTTTTTTCTTTTGGAAACACTTTCTAAACCCTGGTATTTTGTGGTTGTGGCTTGCACAATCCTAGCTATGAAAACAAAGCCATATAGAAATCTACTGGTTTTCCACTTCAATTATTTTCAGTGTGAAACAAGCTATGACGAGCATAAATAAAGTAAAATAAGTTTGAAGCACTATCCTTTGATTGATAGATGGTGTTATCAGCAATGAAGGAAACAGAATGAGTTTCAAGTAATTTGACCGCTATTTCTCAATTAAATAAAGGTGAGATAAAATAACCTAGCACTCACTACCTAGATAAATGTAGAATACAGTATCACAAGAAAATTTATTTTACACCAGACAGGCTACCAAAAATACAAACTGAACTACCAGTATAGCTTAACAGTGTCTTGAAGCATCAGCTGCAAGGACTGATTGTAACTAAAACTGACATTTATGTTCAGAGGCTGGACACAGCTGGTAAGACTAATGATCCATGTGCAGCAGGTACAGAGGAAGAACTGCTCTTCCTAGGAGTCTCAATTAGCAAGTCTGTTTATCAACTGGTATAGAAGCTCTAAGAAGCTGGGTACTAAGTTTAGACCAAACACTTCCTCACTGTGCCAGGCTCTAAACCCATACTCTTTAACATTCCTCTCACATTGCCAGGAACAGGAATGCAGGTCAGATGTACTACATCCCAGAGAGCTACAGAAGAATCCCAGTATCTGCATCGTGTGCCATCAGCTGCCACCGGCCTCAGAGAAGCTTGTGAGTAAAGGCCTTGAAGTAGTCAGATCTGCAAAGCTGGAATCTAGCTGGTAACACATCACTCTCGCTGTCTCCCCCAGCTAAGCTCGCAGGTAAGTTGGCAGGAGTTGGACCATTTCTGGCACCGTACACATCGTTTATATCCAAAGAACATAACTTCCTGCTCTCCAGTGAATGACTCGGGAGAATCGCTGGCAGTCATGTCAAGAGTACAGAATTTCATCCAGAGCTCTTAAGCTTTACTTGCATAAATCATTATCTCTACAAGCAACAATGGAGCAGTTAACCTGTTGATTGCCTCTGTTTAAAGCACCAGTCTACAGCTGTAAGAAATAGGGCTTGGGTTCTACTTTTTTCTTTTCTTGTTACATATTTGGAACAAAGATGCTTTCCTGAAAAGTATGCATGACAGAAGAAAAAATGACCTAAAAATTAAGTTGATCTCTCACTGATTATAGGGTTGGGAAGGGTTTTTTGTTTTGGATTTTTTTTTTTTTTCATTTGTTACCAAGCATGTTCCTCACAGATTCAGGTGCTGGTTGAGAGAGTAGAAAACATTGAAGACGTTGAAGACCTTTCAAGTTTTTGGAGGCTGAAGAAGAAGTCTTCATACCATGCAAAACAGGTTATACAGCTAATATGTTGGAATATCAACTATTTCACTACAAATTGCATGAAGACAAAAGCTTTAAAAAAATCTAGTACAAACTTCAATGCTTATTTTTTTCTCCCTCCCCGCTTTAAAGAGCAAGTAGTTTCACTAATGGTCAGCTAGTCAGAAATTTCCCACTCCAAAGAGGAATGAGATAAACAACTCAAAGCAATTTGATTTTGTAAATCAGTTTACCCTTGCAGCCAGCTCAGATTGCCAAATGATACCAAACTGGAAGCACTGTGGCAGTGCATGCTACTCAACAAGAATTGCCTAAGGAAAGGTGAATGGAAGTTGGGGCAGGGGGGGAATCCAAGTGAAAAAAAATACAAAGGTTCCAACTCCAGTAGATTAAACGCAAGAATACATTTTTAAAGCAAATCAGAACTAATATTAAATCCTTCTCCAAACAGGTCAGGAACGAGAGGTCTACCAGAGTGCCTGTGAGACCCTGCAAAAATGGCAACTGACAGGCACACTGCAGAGACCTTGTCCTCCAAGGACAGCTAAACGAATTCTTTGCATCAGCGTTCACAATGGATGCGTGAAAGTATTTCTGTGTGTTTGCATATGCACATGTATGTGTGTGTAAAACACTCAAGCATCTGAATCTGACAGTATAAACTGGAGAGGTTATAGAAAAATTTGACAGAACGAGCAGCAAGTCACCAGGACGAGGTCACAGACTATTCAAGCACTCCAAAGAAACTCAAGGGCCAGATACCTGAATTAGTCCTAGAATTGCATCATCTCTTCCATGAAACTCCTTCATTTCCAGAGCACTGTACAGAGTTGAGAGTGACACCAACTTTTAAATAACATACCCAGTGGAATTTTGCAGACCTACAGGTGTGTGTGTCTGTACCACGAAAATTAGTAAAAACTGCGATAAAAAAGTCACATTTAATCAGGTGTCCACTAATGTAAGCAGTATATGGTTTTTATAACAGAAAGTCACAGCTTACAATACTAGGTGTTCTCTGGGGGAGAAGAAAAACATATTTCTTAATTCTACAACTAACCTGAGAGTCATGGTTTTCAAGTTCTGCTATAGAAAAGGGCCTCACTCTCAAGAAGACTTTCAAAGGTTGATATGCCTATGTATTAAAAAAAACAAAGTTACTTTTTAAAGAACACACCCTCAAATCATATCAGCATGCATTTCTGATGCAGCATTTCCTTTTTAATCTTACTGCCCCACTTTCTCCTTCCTTGTGAAGTTCAGACCCTAAGCTTTCCTCTGCTTCTTTACCTCCTAATGTCCTTAAGTAACCCCTTTTTTGCTCTCCACCCCATTAGCGCTCTTTTGTGACAAAGCCAATATTTTGATTTAAAATGAGCACACTATCAGAGGCATAAACTGCACTGCTTCCACCTTCTGGGCTCTGTCTGTATTGAATTCAAGCTGTGTTTTCTAACGGCTGCTCCACAGTAGTGCACTTCCATTTTGTACGGAGCGTGTTCAGTTAATAGACGGACACATTCTTAGCCTCAAGAGACCACTCTGTTACCACCACCCAGGCACCAGCCCCTCACATTCCTCACAGTAACAACCACAAAACAGTTCTCAGTTGCTAAGGTGGGCTTTTCCATCCCATCCCATTATACAAAGCTCTCCCCATCCAGGTGAAGCAATACTAGTGGGAGATTTTTTGAGGGATCTCAGCATTCCTTCCTTTCTCGCAAAACTTCAAAGTCTCTTCTTCGGCAACTTGTTCATTCAGCAGATGGATTTACTGGAGTTCTCCACAGCCCTCCCAGGACCAGCACTCCGCTAATCATGCTAAATTAAGTCACCTGAGGGAAGTCAATCAGGAAACCTACCATTCTGAGAAAGCAGGGATGGCTATACTATCTTCACAAGCATACTGCAGCACAGCTTTACAGGTTCTTATTTCCAACCACTTAACAAGCTTTCAACAAGGATCTATACCCTTTTTTAACTACTAAAAAAAAAAACCGGTACAGTTTCGTTATGTTCAAAGTGCAATTACTGAAATCCTTTATTTCCATCTCAAAAGCCTAGCATGACCCATCACATAGCATTGACCATCCGCATTTGCTACTGACTATGATCTCTTCGTAAGCAATGAGAAGTAAGCAGAAGAATCAAACACATCTTGAGGGCAGGGGAATATATCAGTTCTTACCAGAGAAATATTTGCCAGAATCAAAGCTTAAAAAAAAAATCTTTAAAAAAAACCCAACAAACAATCCACACCTGCTGTTCCTCTGTATTAGGCAATGCTGTTGACTCCATAGGTGAAGGTTTACCGGCTACACTCAGAAAAGAAACTGATCCCAGCATATCAGATACTTCTGCAGAAACATAGTTTTTCCCCTCACCATCCATTGTTCTGTGCAAAGGAACTTGTAAAAAGAAAAAAAAAAAACCACACAAAAAAAAACACCCATGATTTTCTCACAGAACAGGCAAAAATACACAGGGAGTAAAACTGAGATCAGGGTAGCTTATGTATAAACAAGCATTTCTGAAAAAAAAGTAAGGTCCTCTGAAGAAGTGTGAAAGTAAGAAGGAATCTTAAATAAACAACTGACAGTCGGGTTACACTAAGAAAGACACAAGCGAGAGCAGACGAACAGCCCCCCTCGGGCATTGCTCTCATCCCACCTGGGAG